TTGGTTAAATTTATGCTCTTATTATTCCTGTCCATTTACGACTGTAAACTTTAATTAGTTATTTAATTATAAGAGTACCGCGGCAAAAACAAATATTGGTAAATGCTGGTCTATAATATATTGAATAGGCGAAGAACCTTATTATTATTGTAGACATTTTTATTTGTTTAACTATTGATGCATTTATAAAATCTCTAATTTTTTAATTTCCATAATGTATCTAATTAAATATTAATTAATACCCGAATTATTATTCATGAAAGCCGCTTACATACTATTGCTTTCTCGCCTATGATATAGATACGTGTAACATTCGTATGCAACTGACTTCTCTCTATTACTCTTGGGCCACCCTTGAGCTCACGCGTGGCTTCGGTGGTTTTCGCTCTTATTTTATTAGTCTTCATTTCTCTTTTAGTTATTTATAAAATTCGTTCATAGTTTATATTAAGCCATATTTTATTAATAGTAACAATACGAAACCGGCTAATTCTTTTAAATAAACGTAATTAAAGGTAATTTAGATGAAAATTTTTTGAAAATTCGGTTTTAGAGCCCAGTTAAAGATTTCTAAGAAAATAATTCCTGTCTGAATTTGATAATTAAATAAAGGAGAAACAAATAAAAATACTTAAACAGGTCGAAAATGAATCTTTGGAAATTCTGGTCAGAAGGATAAGTATAATATATCGTTGGAAATCGGAGAATTTTAGAAAAAATAATATATAATATAGAAAGTTGTAGAAGGTGACAAAGAGTGGCGAAAAATATACAAAATAATAACATTTTTTCAAAGAAATTAAATGAAATTTTGTTACTAAATGTAAACTTTTAAAGTTTGAAAAAATGTTTAAAACCCACGGATTCAATGCAATGCCATTCTTTAAGATACTATTTCATTGTACTTGTGAGAAGGAAGAAGTGAAATATAAAAAAATTTCATAGATACGTTTATAACCTTAAATGTATTTACTGTAGTTTAATAACTCTAGATCTGACATTATATTTAAATAATTAGGTATCTATCGTCCGTTTATTCCGGAAAATCATTATGTAACCTTTTATAAAATTAAATTAGTGAATAATTTGATAAATTTTCCCTTTGTGATATTCCAACAGAATCCACTTACAATTAGTGTGACGACTTTTGACCTGTCTATGAAAGACAATGCAAATCGCTTAATTTCGTTTTAATAAACTTTGCAATGGAAAATAACAGTTTAATAACTAATAGTCGTACAATCCATAATCAACGGATCGAACAATCCATAATCAACGAATCATAGAATCCATAATCAACCGGTGATATAATAAATAGGACTTTTGTTATTTTAATAGTATTTATAATTTGTTATCTGCAATCGTTAAAAAATGCAATTCAAAAATTTTATAATAGGCCAACACGGCCAGAAAGTAATTTCTGTTCAAAGATGAGCACTAAGTGAAAGAAGTTGGGTGTTGCGCGCACCAGATTTTTTCAATGAATGTTGCCTTACTTAGTTGGTAATACCTACAATTTTGTGTCCGCATATTTCAAGATCTCTTTAAATTTCTTCGATTCGTGTGGTTTGATGAAGGTTTTGAATAGCCACTGAAGGCTTTTTTATCTTCAGGGAGGAGATCAGAATTAAATTCAGCTCCGCTGTTTCTCAAACAGTTAACCATCTTTCTGTAATAGTTTGGGGTCTGGGGATAAATTGTTACTCCCTTATAAGTTGTTCTAAGCGAAAAAGAATTTGGGTCTGAATTTGTTTGCAAATACCATACCAGACAAGCGTGGTTTTCAACATTGGAGATCTAGATAGGAGGTGGATTATTGATAGTATTAGTGGATTAGTAGAAAACTGTTACAAGTAGTTACCACTGCGTCAATTTTCTTTTTTTTTTTTTTTGTTTTGTATGGTCCCTGTCTTCAGTAATATTTCTTTCTCGACCAGTTACCAAGCACCTGTTTCGTTTTCTGAGCATTGAGCATTGTCATTGCAGTCCATTTGAGCACTAGCGGATCCAGGATTTAATTTTGGGGGCCTTCAGCACGAAAGATTTTTTTTTTATAGACATGTAACGATAATTATTTAGAAAAAAAAGAAAGAAATTAACTTTCAATATGAAATGGTGTTTAAGTGTTTCTTGAAGTCCTATTAAGTGTAATTACCCGAACAATGATACTTTAAGAGAAAATTTTTTAATATATTTTTCCATAAAACATGGTTATATCTTACCATTTTGAAGGGGGGCTTCAGCCCGAAAGCCTCCCATGTAGATCCGCGACACGAGGACACGAGGTTACCGCAACATTTATTGCATGGATATTTTTCTCTTGGAAAGCTCATTTCACAGCTGAAGTGTGATTTATAGAATTTTTTTTTTCCTTAACTAAGTATGGCCCGTGGGACTTAGGAGGAGGTCCTAATATTGCCCGCTGGACAGAAAGCTTAGAGACCTCTGTTTTAATATTAGGAAAGCCTTATTCCGGTACCCTGATAGGGCATAAATGTCATATTTTCATAATGGCTTTCTCTATAGTATTTTTAATTTGGTTTATTTGAACAAATAAAATGTATCTTAGTAATAATAAAATAAGGAATTCTAATTCTCAGTGACCAAAAAACTAACTAAGTCAAAGTCATCAGTCTGCCATGTTTGGGCAGTGTGTTCACTTTTTTTTGTGGGAACATTGGATTTTTTAAAATAAATAGTTACAAGGAGTACAATGATATTCAATTTATAGGAATGTGGAGGGGGATGCATGGTAAAGGGGTCTGGTCCACAGACTAGTAAACTCATCTTAGACAGGCTATACCTTATTTTGTTTCTAATATATTTAAACAACTTTGAAGGAGCTGTCAGAAAAACTAGAGTATAGGAAGGCTGCAGTTGCAGATTGGTTAATTTAAAGAAATCCATAATTTTTCAATTTATTTCATCAGCACAAATTACAGATTAAAAATGTAAAATTTTAACATATGAAAGGAAATTAATTTTATTTTGAATGGGATCAGCCGCCTAATACTTCCAAGCAAGATTTTCACATAATTTTAAAATATTCATTAAATACTTTTTCCTGATATAAAAATAACATCAAACTAATAGAAATACAATTAAAATAAATACTCCACCTGAAAGTCATCAAGATTTATAGTCTTGTCAGTAAGGTTTTCACTAGAAGAAAATATTGGTCCTTTATTTGTAAAACTTTTCCATGATGAAACATGTAGTCCTTCTCCACAAGCCTTTGAAGATACCTAAATTATATTTGATGAAGGAGAAAAAGATAAAAATAATTTATAGGGTAGTCTAAAGTGTATATGAAATATAGTTGATTAATATTCAAGTATTAATCACTTTCAATAAATTATTCTAAACTAAGTTGGAGGCATTTATAATTATAGACATATTTTATTTACAATTAATGATGTAAAGTACATTCTGAATATTTATTAGTTGCAATTATGATCTCAAGTATCATGAAATTTTTCATCGGTTAAATAAAAATAAACGTAAATAATGTCTAATTCATGTATATCATAATATAAATTGTATCCAATCCTTTTTTTTTTTTTTTTGAGAGAGTATTAATTAACATTGACTTGAACTTGGGTTTGAATCTTCCAAAAATAACAAAATTGTAAATTATACTATTTTGTGTTCAAATTATACAAACAACATTATAGCTCATCATAATGAATAATAAGCTGACTGGTTATTACTGAAGATTAAGATTAATACAGCAAATAGTTTTAAACATTATATATTATTACCTCAATAAAGGAAAGTGGACTTAGTTCAGGAAGTTCATTAAAAGGATGCTGAAGGCATCCTATTTTAACATGCTCTATTAGATCTTGCAGTAGTCTATTTCTTAGTTCTCTCTCATGAACACTATTATATAGTTTATTCAACCATGCCTGACAAAGTTTGGTATCTGGCAGAAAAAAATAAAAGATAATGCTTTTGAAAGATTATTTAGCATATTTACTGATTATGAATTATACCTTCAGAATTTATGTTTCGAAGATATAACCTTATGGAAGCCAAGCCCAGTCTAAATTCCTCGTCCAGTTGCTCATTTTCATCCATGAAAGTTCATCAGTTGTATATTTGTCACACGCGTTTTGATAACATTGCCATCAGGAAGTCACAAATGACCCATTAAAAAAAATACGGTAAATTTTCCATGATTAAAACAATCATGGATAAAACTATACTTGATCAATGTTTCTGATAAATACACAGATAGGATTATTAATAAAATCAATACAAGACATTTTGGAAATGACTGACTTAACCTGAATCTGATCAGATGTTTAACAAATTAGAAAAAGTAAAAATAAAACCAGGCAGTATATGTGAATAAATGAATGGAACTTTTTTTTTTGGTGTACTATAGTAATAATTTCAAAAAATGGTTAAAAAAATAAAGAAGTAGTTTTAATTACTTTTGAAGAAAGTAAAATAAACATGATAAGACATATCAATGTTGGGTAAATTTTATTTAATATAAATATACACTCCAATTTGAATATTCCCATAAAAAATAATCAATGCCTGTTTCATTCTTTAATAATTCAATGATAAATAAAATATAAATTTTTATATAGCAGGTTAATTTTACTATTCCATAATTAAAAAAAAAGTTGAAAAATCAAGATTGTATTCATTAACTTACTTTCTTCAAAATAAAGAGTAAGGACAAAACAAAGCATTTTTAAATTTTAAGTAATATTAAATGTTTTGTAAAATTTAAAATCAATTAATATTAATATATATATCGTAACATTTTTATAACAGCAGAAATAATGAATTGAAAAGTTATTTAATGGGTAATTAGTTGTTCAATAGTTAATATTGAACAAATTTATTTATTGATGCCCATGAGATAATTATAAAGTTTTAAATTGAAGGTTACATTATTTTATCATGTGTTGTTAATATTACAGTTAATAATACTTAGCTAAAAGTTGTAAATAAATAACATATAAGAAATCTTATTAAAGACATGGCACTGTCAAAATAATATAGAATAAAAAATATTTAATAATGGAATCTTTTCTGAAAACCCCAAGACCCATGACCTGGCTCAAGAATGAGCTGAATATAATTAATTGTAACTATTTTAAGGTTTTTGAAAATGCTATTGGTAAGTTGTTACAGGCAATCGTGTAGACCTGTATGCCTAAATTAATTTGCTTCCCAATGCAAAAAGGGTGCAGCTAATTCAAGAATGGTGACTATATTGGGATAGAACTTCCTGGAAACAATCAACCCTACAATGCAATAACTTGACATTAAGTAATAAATCTGTTGCTTGGAACACAGGACTGATCTAAATTTATCTGAAAAATTCTAGAAGATACTAATTCCCAGAAATTCACTAATCAAGTGCTTCATATTTATTTTAAGGGCTGTAGGAGAATTATATATTACTATTTAAAAAATAAATTTAAATTTTTTGGCAGTGTATTTATACATTTTTTTCTTCTTCTAATTTTCTTTAATAATGAAGTAATTATGTCGAATAATTCAAAGTGATGAACATACAAAGAAACATTCAATATCAAGCTCCATATGTACTTTAATAAAAAAACCTAATCTACATAAATAAGAATTGAGTACAAATCATTTTATTACATATAAAAACTCACTAAGCTATCTCACTTTTCAATATTTGAACATACAAGTTTTTTTTTAAATAATAAAGGATGCCTATCATATTGGTCTAGGAGTTGGAAAAAATTGAGTTGGCATCTGCAGTGATTCGGTTCCTAACTGAGCAGAGATAAGATCATGACCCGATTTATAAAGTTCTTTTGCTTTCCCCTTGAGCGGTTTGCAGTGTGTAGCTATCCATTCTTCAATCTGAGGCTGGTAATAAGCTTCACTCATGTGATCTCGCATATAAGTTTCTAAAGCTTCCCATTCCTCTCCAATGCTGTGAACATTTAATAAAAACATTGTTTTACAAATGATGTTTGCAAATGAGTAGTTTTTACAAGTTACTGTCATGTCTTAATAATAAAATAGTACATTTACTTATTGTATTCGTAAGATGAAATACATGGTCATATGTGTTGAAGACGCCGGTAATCATCGTGCTGATACTTAGATCGGTACAAAGGTGGATGTGATTTAAGTATCTGGGACCTTACCTTGACTCTTCGGTCTCCTCAAAAATTGAGGTGCAGAGAAAATGGAGCAAGCTCGAAAAGCCATAAACATGCTTCATCCTATCCGGTAGAATGACAGAATTCTAAAAGAAAACAAGGATGTACCATGCCACTGTATAACTAATCCTAAAATATGCAGCTGAAACCTAGACTACGTCATTCTAGCTCTATTCAAAGATACAAACTATGGAAATGGACTTTTGGAGGAGATGCCTACGAATGATAAGGATGGATAGAATTAGGAACAAGGTTGTTAGGGACAGGATTGAGGCTCCTATGTCCACCAACCATAGAATTGGACGGCGAAGGCTGTGTGGTATGTCTATGTAAGACGAATGTCTAACGAGCGATGGCCTAACTGAATTCTTGATTGGCAACCGCCGTGAAAACAGGTGAGGACGATCCTAAAAAAGGAAGATGCTTGAAGTGAAAGAAGAGATGGCTGGCCAGTCTTCAAGATGAGAATTGGCTTGAAAACAACCTCTGGAGCTTAGTTCTGATATGAAAAGGCAACCCTCATTAGAATGCCTAGATAATATATAGTAAATATTTTTTTATTAAAAAAAGAAACTTACTTGAAAAGTGTACTAACAATGCCCTGGATTTGCATGGGGTTTATAAACCCAGTTGAAAGCTGCCAAGAATTCATCCAAGCTCCAACTCTATGAACAAAAAAATTTGCAAATATTATAACTAATGATAGGTCAGAGATAATAAAATTTGAGAGTGGTGTATATTCCAATAAAAAATTTTGTTCTAAAGATTCATACGAAAAATAAATAAAATTATATCATAATAGTTTATGGTAAGAAATAGGAATATAGTTAACTTTGTTTAATCAAGACACTGAACGATCAGGACAATCTTTTCCATACTTGGAACTTTTTCATGTTCATAGAAAAAATTTGATGCGCGCATCACACAACTTTCACTTACTGCTCTACTTTGAATAGAAATTATTTTCTGGCAATGTTGGGCTATTACAAATTTTTTGAAGTGCATTTTTAACACTAGAACAACACACTTAAAAAAGTCAACTAATTCTGACACTCTGGGGTGTGGTACTAATAATTGTGGTATATTATATAATTTTTTTTTTCGACCTTGCACATAATTTTAAAAGTTTAGATTTTGTTAGGAAATTTTATTTAATTTCCTTTGAAACATGTGTTTTCCGTTAATTAATTTGATTTTTCAGAAATTATTAATTATAATTTTTTGTCACTATCCATTACCTTCTACAACTTTCAATATTATATATTGTTTTTTCCTAAAATTCTCAGCTTTCCAACAATATATTATACGTATACCTGCTGAATATTATTTCAGGAGATTCATTTTCGATCTAAATAAACCTTTTTCTTTTTTCTCATTTCATCATTAATCAAATTCTTTCTAAAGTTATATTTAGCCTTTTTTCATAACTGCTAACATTGAGAGATAGATAATTATTTGAAATAAACCAAATTAAAGTTACTTTAGAGAAAGAAATTTTGAACATTGGGCCTTTAAGCCCTGTTAAGCGACATCAATGGGGATTAAAGACCACTTAATTACACAATGATACACAGAGTTTAATCACAATTGTTAATGCCGTTTTTGAGAAAATTATAAAAATGTGTACAATTGTCGATATAAAGTGACACTTCCGGTTAGCCGATTTTAAGGAAAATGTTGCAGTAACATCCCAGGTATATACCTATCATAAATACGTGACATCAGTTTCATGCAACTTTTTGTTTCTGAGCTAGATCATTCACATACACACCACCATTTTGCGGGATTTGGTTATTTGGAATCAGAGGACCTCAAAACGTGTATTTCCGTTGGTCGGAACTCTCAGAAAACTCAAATTCAAACATTTTCATGATCGCAATACCTTCCCCGAGTATATATTACATATATAGGTAAGTTAGAGTAAAATATGTAATGGGATTCAGATTTGTTTATCATGTATGACATCTGCATACAATACCAGCATTATTTTTGTTTTTGGAATGAATTCAGGCCAATTTCCTGGATTTGTGAATTTAATCTGGATACCAGTCCAGATATAGCAACATTATGAGCAAAATGTGTCATTCAAGAGGAGTAAATAAAATATTTTAAAGAAAAATGTTGATAATTATTTTTCGCACGCTAAAAAAACCTTAAATACAAATTTAAACAAAAAGTGATGGTGAATAGTAATCATTTGTCCTTGATTCTTTCTTCATATATTAAAATGGATGAAATATTTTCTATTTCTATGTAATAATGTTTTTGTTATCAATTTAACTACGACTGATTGAACTCCTGCTTGTTAATAATTTCTTTGCAATTACCATAATACCGTAAAATTAATCATGGGTTTAACTTTTTTCAGCATTTTATTTCTCTCACTTTCATGATTACAATTCAATACTGAAGAGATATTCCTATAAAATTCTATCTTAAGATCCGTTGCCACCAGTAATTTTTTCTTCAGCAACTTCATCCCCGCTGTGTGACATAATAATGAGAGTAAAATATTTTTCTTAGGAAGAAACTAGAATGTAATAATCTAATATTGAAATCAGTGATCCCAAATACATAACCTAACCTTCTAAGACAGTGTGCCAGAATCTAACAGTCTTCATATAATTAGGAATTCTACAAAAAATGAATTGATATCTGATAGCAACTATTTAGCTCTTATAAGACTAACCACAGAGCATCCTGTCAATTCTTTATGTTTTACCCATTCTTTAAGAATAACACATAGAGGAGTAATCACTATTTTATGATTTTTAAAGAGGAATGGAAATTCCATTTTATGCCATGGAAAGTTTCTACTAATTGGTTATATAACTGGAAACAATTCTTGATATAAGATTGATTTCTATCAGCACATATTTGTAGTATCATTGATTGGTATATTATAACTTTTTTTATTTTGTGGACACTGGATATTTTTTGTATAGGTCCAAAAAACTGAAGAGAGGCAGACCTGGGCTATAAAGAGATTACTGAATCGAGAGTAATCTTCCTGAAAAAAATAAAGTTATTAAAAAATAAATAAATAAAAGTACTCACTGGTCAGAACTTATAATTGCCATATGTTTGCCTTTGAGATTAGCAAGCCATTCCACACCAGTAGTTATTTTCCATCCAGGATAATTTAAATCTGGAGCAACTGCTTGAGGCCTAAGAAAGCATTTTTTTAGGATTATGTATCATAATTTTTTTTATAAGATTATTTTATAAATAAAACAAAATATCAATATTTAAATACCTCGGATATGGATTAGTGAGTAAAGGAACTTGATCATATCCTAAGGAAGTTGCAACTTTTTTAAAAATTTCCTCAGTATATTCATTTTCTTTACAAATGCTTAAGCAAATGGCTAAACAAGGTAAAGCTGAAGGGAGAAGTTCACATAATGTAGCAAAATGGTCATACCTGCATAAGACAAGAAACAAATTATTTTAATTAATGTTTCTTTTTACTAATTAACACATATTAATTACAACTAACAGGGTCTTCCTTTCTAATAATATTTATTTGCTATTTCTAGAGATGGGCAGTACTTGATTATTTTCATGATTAGAGTATTTTTATTAGGAAAAAGTAAGGAGTAGTTTCTTGGCCCGACCACGGCAAGTACTCACACAGCATTAATTATATATTAGTTAAGCACAGAAAGTACTCGGAGTGTTATATTCGATTACAGAAAGTACTGAGCCAAATTCCTTTCAGTACTTTTTATTAATGAACTACTACATCATTATTATGAATATAGATACTTTCTTTTAATTCCTTCAATAATGGCGTCCATATTGAAGTTAGGTAAGACCCACTTATTCGATACTAGGGTCCACTATATGTTGTCAGGGGCGCTTTTTATGAAAATATTATCGGATTTCAGAACGCGCATAAAGTTTTTATAACTTCGGATTTAATCAATATTAGGGTCCACTATTATGTTGTCAGGAACGCTTTTTATAAAAATATTCTCACATTTAAGAATGCACATTAAGTTTTTACAACTTTTATGTTTTAATTGATATATATTGGGGCCCAATATTATGTTATCGAGGGAGGTTTTTATGAAAATACTGTCGGATTTAAGATTCTGCAATTGTGCATCACGTTTTTGTAATATTTATGATTTAATCAATATTAGGGTCCATGATTATGTTGTCGGAGGTGCTTTTTATTACAATACCGTCGTATTTGAAAATGCATAACCGTGCATCAAATTTATGTAACTTTTACCATTTAATCGATATTAGAGTCCACTATTATTATGTTGTCAGGAGCACTTTTTATGAAAATACTGTCGGATTTGAGGTTCCGAAATTGAGCATCACATTGTTGTAATCTTTAGGATTTAATTGATAATAGGGTCCACTATTATGTTGTCGGGGGTGCTTTTTATGACAATAATATCTGATTTTAATATCAAGTAAACTCAAAAAGTTATAGGTTTGGGCAATCTCAAATCAGACAGTATTTTCATAGAAAGCATCCCCCAGAACATAGTAGTGGACCCTAATATTGATAAAATCTGATGAGTTAAACAAACTTAATGCACGGTTGTGCATTTTCAAATACGACAGTATTGTCATAAAAAGTATCTCCGACAGCATAATAGTGGACCGTAATATCTATTGAATCCTAAAGACTACGAAAACGTGATGCACAATTTCAGAATCTTAAATCTGATAATATTTTCAATAAAAGCAACTGCGACAACATGATAGTGGATCTTTTTTTTTTTTTTGTGTCCCCTCCCCTTCCTCGCCACTAAGGCTATACGGGGTTATCCCGGGCCAAGGGGTGTGGGCGGGGATTTAAAAGACGCCTTGCTACCGGGACGCGAACTCGTGACTAATTTTATAACACACAACGTGGTGCTGAGCACACGCGTTAGTCCATTCGGCCACCCTGCCTACGATAATAGTGGTCCCTAATATTGATTAATTCCGAAAAGTTACAAAAACTTGATGCACGGTTTTGTATTTTCAAATCTGAAAATATTTCCATCAAAAGCATCCCTGACAACATAATAGTGGATCCTAATATGGAATAAATCTGAAATATTTGAATAAGTCGATAATTTATTGATTTACGTTAATATTGATAGTATTTTTAAAAATTATATCCCCTTAACATAAGAATGGACATAAATATTGAAGAAATATAAAATAATCTACTGCTGTAATTTTTCAAATAAAGTACTCAATTACTTTGAAAAGTAATCAAAGTAAAATAATTTTGAGTAAATATGAAAATGGAAAGTACTCACGAGAACAGCTGAGTAGTTTTTATACTCGGCAATCATTAAGTCAAGTAGTGATTAAAGTACTCGATACTCGGATTGTATGAGAATATAAATATAGTAGTTTTTGCCCATCTCTAGCTATTTCACAAAAGTTAAATCAATATATTGAGCTCTCCCATTTTTAACATTGCTTGTAATGCATTATCCTCATTGGAATTATGCAATTAAATTTTGATTTTTTTCATTTTGATAGATATCTGAATTAGTCAAATCATCACAGCAACCTCTGTGATAGATTGACGCAATTATGATTTGACTAATTCCAATATGTCTGAAAAAAAAAATTGTATTTATATAGTGAAAGTTCTGAGGATGGACAAAGAGTTCCCTGTGAAAAAATAGCAGGATTAAGTGTTTTAAAATAAGCGGAAATTGCCAAGCCAAATAACCTATTATTTTCTTTAAATGAGAACTAGCCAGCATAAGCATTAATATATAATCAGAAATATCAACAGCTTGTATGTATACAACTGTCATAATGGGGCTTCACAAAATTTATGACTGTGAGTGGACCAATAAAGTAAAAGAAGAAACTTATGTGGCCAAATTCTTCAGATTTTACCTAGTTCCACTTGTAGTCAACGGCACTCACTGTTGACTGTACTACAAATATTGGGGGACTAAGCTCTAGAATAACAAGCACACAGATACAATGTCTGGTCATGGAAAGTAGTTAATTTTTATTCTAATGATAAATTTAAATATAAATATCATATGTATAGAATAGACCATCAGCTGGTTTATCAAAAAATCAATAAAAAAAAGGCAATTGAGTTTGTTGTTTGTTTTATATAAATGTTTTGATGAAAATAATGAGTACTAATCTTAAATATTATCAATATAAAATAGAACTCGACCTAGACCATCCTGTAATAGCAATTCCTTTAATTTCAGCCCTTGACGATTTTATGAATGCAAGCCATTGCTCGTGGTTACTAACATGGTGTTGTATTACTGGCAATATTTGACAAGCTCCAGTTGCTCCCTTGTAGGCTGAAGCAATCCAAACCTTCTTAAATATGGTTGCATATTTGTTCCATAAATCTAAAACCAATCATTAATATTTTCAAAACCATTATTTTGAATAGTAGTGAAATTATTGAGTAAAACAATTGTAAAATTTAGATTACGACTGGACAAATTTAGTTTTAGTAAAATTAACAGTTTAGAAGCATCCAGTAAATTATGAAGACAAACTAATCATCTTTAAATAAAATTAGACAAAACATTATAATAGAAAGTTATGTAAATATTAGTATTGAAATGTTTTTGGAAATATTGAAACCATTGACAACTGGGTGTACCGTTCTTTTAAATTTGAGGGATAATGTTGAACATTGAACATAAATATTAAAAATAAATAATTAATGAACAATCTAACAAAAAAATAATTTAACAAAGACAAATAAACCATATGTTTATATATACCCGTTTCCCGTTTTTATGTAGAGTTGAAGTGGTTTTACCCTCCCTACCGTCATAAGTATTTTTTGGCATCCTTCCTCTTTCAAGTCATCCAATCCCACCGACCTTCATACATCTCCGAGCTCCTCCAATTCAAATCCCCTGTTCGCTCCCGCAATACTCGTTCCAGGTCTTCTGATTTATACATAAGGCCCCAGTGAACCGCTGCTTTCGACAGATCATTCATTATCCGATCCTCATCCTTATGGAACTCCATCCCTTCCCACATCCGTCAATCTAATACCCTTCCTACCTTTAAATCCCGCCTGTTTAATCATTTCTTATCCATCCAGTCCCAATAAAATCATAAAATTGTAAATAGATACCACTGAAAATATGTATATAAATTATTAGATTGTTCATTATTTTTACTTTATTTTAAAAAATTTTAATATGACTATTTTATTAGTCAACATTTCTTCTTATGTATTTCTGAGGCTCCTTAGCCCACATTACTGTCCTTATGTATTATTCTAAAGGGACTTGTCCCAGAATAAATAAAGTATTATTATTATTATAAAGCATTTACATACAATGGAGTAACAGTGTCTCCATTCTCATGATGTAGCTTCCTTTCTAGCATTTTTATTTAACATTAGGTATCTTTGCAAATATGAATCAGAAATATAAAGGACATTTTTGTTTTTACAACCTAATATTTAACGATGGATAAAACTGAAAATGCATAAAAGTACCCAATTGTTCTTGATGGAGTTCATAACTGGGTTTCAACTAGTTTTTTATTTCCAAATCTTATGTTATATATTAAACTATAGTTCAAACGTCATTATATTATGGTATTATTATAAATGTGATCATGATGGCATTTTGAAGGCCAAATCATGCAGCAATATGTTGAAAATAGTTTTATTTTTCATTATAACCTCTGATATTACCTAGAAAATATTTGCAAATTTATTATAAGATCTTTCATTTTATTTTTTGTTTTTCTATGCATTGATTATCTTGAGCTCTTTCGGCCATGCGACGTCTAACAGCCCAGTAAACTTCACCTTCAGTCCTGGCTTTGGTTCTACCGTCCTATAGTCCGGGATATGTCAGTACATGTAGAGCTGTTGGGGAAAGGTGGTGGCCAAACAGGCTAACACATGCGCAAAACACACGTAGCCTGGTAACCTTAGTAGCAAGATTTGATAAAATAATTAGGAGGTCGCATTCCAGTGCTTTTAAATCTGGCATTAAACCCCTGCCCTCTTCCCTGGGCCGGAGAAAAACCTGTATAACCTATACCTAAAAATATGTATAACCTCAAAGGTGAGGACAAAACAAAAAATGATGCAGAGCTGTCATAGATCCTTGTCGACAAAGTGGGCATAATGCAAATATTTTAGGAATAAAAATATCATTAATTTTATTACAAATACATACAATTTACATTGCACAATTGTGCATAGATATTTGATTATTTCTAAATATAATCTATAAGTATTTACTTATCTATAAATTTAAATCTAAAGGTTTCATAACATTTTACAGATAGATTTTAGAATGTATCTAATTATTACATACCAATGGGTATATTGAAGAATGGAGCAGGCTCATAAAACCAAACCATTATGTCAACTAACTCACTTAAGGAATGTGCTGTGAATAAAACAATTGAAATAAATACAAATATTTGGCATGACAAATAAAATTCAAATATAAATAAAGAAAAACCTTGGATCAAAGAAGCAGGTACTCCTCTAATCATATCATCCCACATAATCGGCCTTATGTGAGGATAGTTCTCCTTAAAATGTTTCAGGACAGATACTAAATGCTCAAGTAAAACAACATGTTTATCTTGACTTGAACAGAAACTACATGAACCCAACTGCCAAACCTATTATTCACATAAAAATAAGACAATATGTGAAGAGATTAATATTCCAAATATTTAAATATAAGGATAATTTTAGAAGTTGCAAACCTCGTCAGCTCCAATATGGAAATACTGCAAGTCTTTAGGCATTTTTGAAATAACTTGGTCAATCATACTGGTAACCAGTGAAAGTGATTTTGGATTACTTGGGCACAATGCATTTGTGTATTTCCAAACTTCTCTAAGTTGTTTCCATTCTTCATGCCTCAGCACAAACTAATATAAGGGAGAGGTTGAAGAAGTTTCGTAGTAGATTGTCTACACATACAAAAATATACATATATACAATTATTATTAAGTATATACCACCTTCAAAAGGGTTTACCTCTAAATGACCAAATGTTTGTACTAATGGAATTACAGAGAGGTTTGAATTCTCAGCCAATTTGAGAATTCGTTCAATATCAGCAACAGAATATGCTTTGGACTCAACATTAAGTGAACCAATACATTCTAAACTATCAGAATATGGAAAAGTATCTTCCCATTCAATAAGAAGACCAGTTGCTCCCCATTCCCGGAAAAAAGGAAAAATCTAAAAAAAAAATAATAAAATTAATATATAGAAGTAAAGTATTATTGGCTGTTTTAAAGAAAATTAAACCAATTTTTACCTTCTCCATAAAATCTACTTTCAATGGTGCTCTTTTAAGATCTAAATGAACAAGCCTATTGGCTCCAAATTCAAGTTTTTCTTCCATTCTGGGCACTGATTAAAACCTTAAAAAACTTTATACAAAAGAAATCCTCATTTACTGTGCTTAAAAATACAATTGATTCAATTCCAAAGGTTAGTTCAGTAAATTAATTGCAAGTTAAACTTATAAAATGATAGACTGTTTATTTTCTTTTATAAGTGAATGGCAGTTTTAAATCACGTGATTTCTATTTAAATCCACAACTTCATCTAGTTGTGTAGATTTTTCACTCTGCTAGTTCAGTAGTGATTCCAGTTTCTTTGAAGTGAAGTTGCAATAATTAGTGGATACACTGCAATGAATATGTTGGAGGTCAATTCATAGATTAAATAATAAGGACCACTATCTGAATTGTTATCAGTACTAATTTTTCGAATTACATAGTTCTATTAGCTTTGAGATAACATCCGTTTTAAGGTACTCTCGATCATTAATTTCACATAAATCTCACAATTACTTTTCTTTTACTTCAATATTTCTGGTAAAACCCTAAAAACTATCATAGAATCGAACTTTCATTCATCTACTATTGACGGACGGTGGATGGACTACTGTTTATAAATCAGTAATGCATGTTTAACCTGCTGATGGTAACCAATTGTTGAAGGTTCAATCTTTAACTTCGTGACGTCAACGTTCAGTAAATTTTTTTACTAAAATGTTTTGTGTTTAACTCACATCGCTTAATCATCATTTGATATATATTGTAAGTTAATTCCACAATCATAATCTGTTTATTTAAACCCGTTTTTAGTTGCATTGTGTGTGTTATCTAATATCAGTAAATTGGTCATGGTAAGCATACACTGTATACCTGATTGCCTACCATTTACCTTATATCTGATATTTTTCCATTTATATTTTGTATATAAAGGAAATTTAATTACTTATTTCTAACTCTGAGTACACTTCTGTTTATTTAAGAGTAATATAGAGCCTAAGTTTTGATTGAATTTTAGACACTTGTTAGTTTATAGATATAAATATTGTAATAATGGTTAAAATATTTATAAATCTAATGGATAAAGAAAAGATCTAACCATTAGTGACACACCACAACTGAATAATTCAATTAATTGTTGGTGAACTTTGTTTCGCATTAGTTGTGGAAGATGTTTTTATTCTCTAAAGGTTTTATTTACTTTTAACACTACTTGTATTTGCATTTTAATTTATTTTTCACTGTGGTAATCTAAGTACTATTTCTTTGGAGCCAATATCATAACGACGTTTCTGGAAATTTTCCTTCTGATCCAATAAACCCTACATTAATTTTATTAACACATCTGATATTTTTGTTAAATTTTTACCAATTATATTAAATCAACTTTTAGTATATATTGTAATTACATTGCAGTTCTTAACTCCACATATTTTATCGATTAAATTGATTTTGTTACTGTAATATTTTACTTGAATATACTCGACATAGCATTATTGCTCTAGAGGATGGACTTCCATTAGGAATTTGACCAATTATTTTTTCTTTTAGCAAATTTTTAATTAAGAGTTCAAGTAATTCTATTACATACTAAAGTTTTGTTTTTATGAAAACGAATTCAGGTGTTGTGATAGATCTGTTCCATTTTATTATAATTATATGCATGAAAATAGAATTATTAAACATTTTATAATATTAAATGAGTCCTGTGAATTCGTTTACAATAATATTTTTCATTTTAGTCATTTGATCAGTGGGAATTAATCAGTTGATCTGAGTTGACCTCTTTAACTACTCTGTCATTGTTCTTAAATTTCATATGAAATATACTCCTATTATATTTATTACTATCAACGATATATTTAATTTGCTGCACTCAATTTAATTGTCTAACCAAAACTATCGACAACAAGTTTTTTGTTTTTTTAAATTTTAGCAATTGATTCTTCCGCAATTCTATTAGATTTTTAAAGTATTAACTTTTTATTCTGTTGAATCCAAAATTGATTACTTTTTAATTTATTTTTAGCAAATTATTGTAAATCTAGTATTTTTATGTAATCTGTAATATCTCCTAGATTCTCTTTTGCATAGTGCTTCACTCTGTTGTGCGATTTATCTACTAGGCTCATTAATTAAAAGTGATGACCACATATCTGGTCCAGTGATAGCTCTGTAACAGTGGTGGTAACATCTTTGTAGTGCCATCAGTGCAACATGGCCTGCCTCCTTTACAGACCCGGATGATGTCTTGTATGAATTTATGTTTATTTTATTTGTTTAGCTTAGTTATATTGATAGGTTAATTTGTTCAGTTTTTTAGGAAGAGTCGATTATTTTTTTTTTTGTTTTGGGTCTATGACTGAGATAACACTATCTTATTTGAGATAAATATTAAGATCTCATCTCTTATAGTGCTTGCTTTATGTTTTTGTTTTATGGTTTAAATGATGTGATAAATATTTATATTTAGATGTAAATAACTTTTAATGTCAAATAATATCAAATTAATATGAAATTAAAAGTTATTTTATACAAAATCATATTATTGTATTAACATATAATTAACTATATGTTTACACTATAAGAAATTAAAGTGGGTTTATAAACTTCATGGTCTGTAATAGTTTCGTTGATTAATAATATTTTTTTACAATTTTTTAAATTTATTTTTCAATTCAAATCTTACTTTATTTTCCAAATCAGTCTCACGAAGATTTCTTATGAAGTAAGTATGCAGCTTAATGTATTTTTTGTTTTTTATTCCTGTATGTATTGTTAGTTGTGAGTGTACTTACTATAATTTTGGCTATTTCAGATAATGAAACAAGAAATAAAGAAACTCAAACTTGAAAACCCCAGCTTATCAGAAAATGTTCTTTCTGAAATTAAATGTGTACTAAGTGATGAACTTACTAAAGAGATTCCTCTTGTTAAAGTTTTTGTTGGACATATTACAAATAAAAAAGTAATTAAAGATGTTATATTAGATCTGAACCGTTTGCTTCCTGTATTAGAATTACAGCACTTAAAAAGAGTACATAAAAACAAGGTACTTATTTGTTTGTTTGAGGAAAATGAAGAAAAAGATGTCCTATTATCTCTAGAAAAACTTGGGTTCAATACTAATTTACTTGCTTCTAAATTAGAAATTCTCCAAGTATTGAAGTATGCTCCAAAAACTCGAGCCCAATTTTTAAGAGGTAATGACTATTGGCCGACAAGTTTTCATGAAGATAAATATGTTGAAAGTTTATTAGCAAACACTGTTTTCTCTATTCAAGAAATTAAAATTCATGAAAAATGGATGGGAACAGCTATAGAAGCTGCGAAAAAGTCAAAAATTAAAAGTGGAACAGTTATTGTCGATCCTATTAAAAATATAATAATTGCTGTTGGAAGTGATGCTAGGCATGAACATCCAGTTAAACATTCTGTGATGGTTGCTATTGATTTAGTTGCTCATGCACAGGGAGGAGGGGCATGGGCGGCTCATTCTGCTGATTTCTATGACAACGATGATGTTCAAAATTTTGAAAATAACAATGATGCACCTTATTTATGTACTGGATATTATGTGTACACAACACATGAGCCATGTATAATGTGTTCAATGGCTCTAATTCATAGTCGAGCAAAGAGAGTATTTTATGGAATTCCTTCTTCCAATGGTGCTCTTGGAACTTTGTTAAAAATTCATTCTATAAAAAGTTTGAACCATCATTATGAAGTCTTTAAAGGGCTTCTGAAAGAAGAAGTAAATCTTTTATAACTTTGCAATAACAGTCGCTGTTTATTCAATTCATTGAATTTATATTTTTATAGAAAAAAAATCTTGTGAAGATTTGGTCATTGTTAACTAATAATGCTTGTTGATAAAAAAAAATCTTTATAAACTGGACTGATATTAAGTCCATAATTTAATGTTGCCATTTTTAAAATTGTAAATATTTTATTTGTATTTATTGCATTATTCCTATAAATGTTAATGCAGTTTTGTTTTTTTCTTAAATAAATATTCTTTTTATTTTTTGTATGCCTTATTACTTAGTAATATTGGATCCTAAAGAGTCTCACATTCTAGTTGATATGTGTTTGTTTGTCTTATGACTGAAATATTTCATAAAAATTAATTTTTTTAAAACCATTTAAATTTTGTTGATTATTTAAACAAATTGATATGATATATAAATAATTGTGAATGATGGTTGACTGTAATGAATAATTGAAGAGAAGATAGGTTTAGGGGATCAGTAAAAAAAATGTAAAAATAAATTAGTTATATTTATTTTTATTTTTGCTGATGTTTCGGCCCAAAGTTCAGGGCTGGTCAATCATAGAACTTATGAAAATCTTTTAATTGACCAGCCCTGATGAAGGCCTGAACTTTGGGCCGAAACTTAGACAAAAATAAAAATTGACGTTACTTATTTTTTACATTTTTTTGACTGAGCATCCCAACCAATTTTCTTCTCTTCAATTATATAAATAATATTTTGATTGTTTAAAAAGAATTTCTCTTGAACTCAAATGAATCAGCAATGAAGGTTTATATGTTTCATTAAATATTTTACTAGTATCTGTTTTCTTAATTTTATTTTATTAGTAGTCTATAAAACAATTGTGGGAAATGATATTCGTTATCAAAGCAAAACCCTAATGTCTCTTTAGTTTTATTCAACTAAAACTCCATCTTTTATCTATACAGTACCAATTTCTAGTATAACAACAGCCTTTTTATATAAGTTCTTGTTTCAATATGTGTAGGGTTTATATTTTATCAAAACATTCATTTAAAAAAAAAAAGTTTCTGTTGTCAGTAAATAGTGACTTGCAACATAAACTGAGAATGGAACGACTTTGAGAATTATATTTTCTAGAGTATAAGTTAAGTTTAAATTTTTGTATTTAACCGTTCACTATCTCATCAGATAATATTATTACTTGAAATGAAAGTAATAATAAATGTGTCAATGTTCTTAGATATAATGGCGATAACCAAATAAATAGAATAAAATATGAAAATATAAGTAAGTTCTATTGTGAATTTTTGCATTCAATTGCCAATAAGTCTCTCTCTGTTGAAACTTGTTCAGCTATTCTAACTTTGCGTATATAAATAAATATATATAATATAATATTTATTTCTATTCTGTAATACTTATTACATCTTTTAACAATATATACACATACTACTATATTCCATTTAAGATTTCATTAAAAGTAGCAATTTGGGGCGTATTTCGTCTCTAAGTCTCTTTTTCCTCAAGTTGAGAAACCCTCCATTATGTATTTCAATAGCTCATACTTTATTATCTATTGTCCCATTTCAAACCAAATCATGATATCAACTAATCAAATAAAAACCCTTTTGTTTGTTATAAAATATTACAGTATTTACAGAAACATCTTTTACTCAGATTAGGTACTAACCTTCCACCAAGCACACCGTGAATTTAATGTGTACCGATTAGGGCTTTTCTTACCTGCTCTGTTGGGGGCTGAGATGTTGAACTTTCACTTTCCTCTTGCCACTAATCATTTGTCAAACCCTTCTACCTGATATACCAAAATTTACAATTTTTCAGTTTATAGAATACTGAAGTTGTGATG